GATACATGGGAATGCACAGGCCTGGGGTGCAGCTTGGAGGTAGGGCAGGAATAGTGAAGAAATAAAGACAGGCAGAAAGGAGACAAGGAAAATTAAAATTTAAAATTGTACTTGTAGGGCCGGGGATAAAGCTCAGTGGCACAAGTGCCTGCCTGCCAAGCACAAGGTCCTGAGTTTGATCTCCGGAACCGCCCCCCCCACAAAATTGTACGAAAACTGCAGCTTCAAGCAAAGTTCCTCGCCATTCTCATGGCTTTCCCCTGATCTGTCTGTTCCCCTCCAGGGCCCTCATTCCTAATTTCCTCAGTCCTGGAAGATTCAGTGAGCCTGGAATTTGGGTCCAGGCCTCTCACCTGTACATGGGGCTGCAGAGTCACCGATGCCACCGACTGCCACCCCACGAGTGGCCGTCACTCGGCTCCCTCTCCAGCTCCCAAACTCCTGTACCTTTGTTTCTGCTTAATAAATCTGCCCACGCCTCTTGCTGACCTGTCCTCAAAGGCTTTTCCAGGGGGAGAGCCGCCACCCTTCTCGGGGGCATCCAAGCTGAGGTCTCCATGGGGACTTCTTTGACCCTGTTCAGTAACAGTAGAGCATTTGCCTACCAGGCATGAGGCACCGGGTCCCATCCCTAGGACTGCTAAAACAAATTCAAAACACAGACAGGCAGAAACATGCGGGCAGCTCTCACGAGAGGTGCCGAGGTGGCGTGCAGGGGACAGGACGGGACAGTTGGAGACCAGCCCGCGCACACCATGCGCAGCAGTGAAGTGCAAAGGAACTGCAGACACATGCGTGCAAGGAAAGACAGGAAAATCAGTGAGACGCCTCAGGACCCTAGAAGGAGCCATCTGGGAATAATGAGCACCCCAGACTTCATGTAAGCTGAGACTGCTTCTTTCTTAGGGACACAGGGACAATGACAAGGCAAGCCAAAAGCTTGCAGAAATATACGCCATACGTGCACCCGACAAAGGACCTCCTGACAGAACACGAGAACTCTCACAGCTCAGTGTAGAGATAAACGCCCTAAGGTGAACACAAGCAAGGGATCTGAAAGAAATGTCCCAGAGGAGGGGCAGATGGCGGGTACGTGTGTGAAACGATGGTCAACATCCACGGTCCCAGAGAACCACAATAAACGCCACAAGGAGACACCACTGCCCACCACGCATGTGGCTAAGATTTGGGGGTGGGGGGGTTCCAGGGGCTGGCAGGGTTGGGGTCACTAGTGCTCTCAGATGCTGTCCCTGCCAAAGGCAACTGTAGTGTCTTCCTTTTCTTTCTTCTTTGTATTTTTTTGGAGTGCGTGTGTGCGGGGGCGGGGGGCGGGGGGCTCACATTATGTTGCCTAGGCTGGTCTCAAACTTTAGGCTCAAGCCACTCTCCTGCCTCAGCCTCCCAAGTGCTGGGACTACGGCTGTGTGCCACTGTGCCCAGCTCAGTCTGACAGTTTCTTTTAAAATATAAATGTATGCTTCCACCACATGACAGCAATTTCAGTGCCAGGTGAAGTGGAAATATGTCCGCACTAAGATGTGTACACAATTATCCAGGACAGCATTGTTTATAAAAGCTCAGCTATGATTTCAGTATCTTCCCCAAAAGTTCACATGCCACAGGTGCCAAAGCTCACGTGAATTCCAGAATTCCTATGCTGATGGTGCTTGGGGACAGGCCCCGGAGGGTGATTAGGGTTATGTGAGGTCATGGGGGATGCCCAAGATGGCATCAGTGGCTTTTTAAGAAGAGGAAGGGAGTCATGCGTGGTGGCTCATGCCTGTAATCCCAGCACTTGGGAGGCTAAGGCAGGAGGATCATTGTGAGTTCGAGGCCAGCCTGAGCTACAAAGTGAGTTCAAGACCAGCCTGAACTACATAGTAAGACTCTGTCTCAAAAAGACCAAAAAAATAAGAAGAGGAAGGGGCCTGAGCCCACATCCATGCCCTGTCTCCACAAGTGACACCCTCTGCCATGCTAGGGCACAGCATGAGCCCCCCCGCCCCCCAGATGCCAGCGCCAGAACTTCCGGCTCCACAACAGGAAGTCACACAAAGCCCACCCCATACAATGCACCCAATCTGTGGCACTCAGCAGTAGCCCTGGAAAACAGACAGAGAAACCCCAAACTGGACACGACTCTAACACCCCTCCAGTGGATGAGTGCTGCGGTGTGTTCCCAGGGGGGGACAGTCCTTGGCAGTAAGGGGGCACAGAGGACTGACACAGGCAACACCGTGGATGAAGATCCAACATACTTCGCAAAGCAGGACACCAGAGAGAAAGGTCTCTGCTGTATGGCCCCACTCCTAGCGGACTGCAGAAGACCGGTGTCCTTGTGCTGAGAGGAAGCAGACCTGGTGCCTGGGGCTGGGGAGGCCGTCCAGGGAATTGTCCCCTTCTGCGCTGATGGTGTCTTCTCTATTTTCATCACGGGGGTGGTTGCACGGGTGTGTAAGCATGTGCAAACTCACGGGCGTGGGCATTTTTACGTACATGTTTTACATACATGTTAACATCCTACTGCAGTACATTGGATTGTACGAAATTTCTGCTTGTAATTTCTTTTATAGTCCTCATTTTCTTTGTCAAGTTGGTGAACAGGCACTCAGCTCTGAAGGCTACATTTTGGTTCAGAGAAAAGAACAACTGTGGCTTCAAAAAATAACATCTTTAAAGAAACGGTTCCATGGATTTCCTCCCATCCATCCTAACTTCTCAGAAAGCAGCTTTAATGACAGTTTTTAGCCATTTCGTAATAGAACTCTGCACTCATGCGTTTCTGTGGCCTCTACTTGTCTACAACTGGGTTTTTTTTTCAGCTGGGCTGCCTGGGAGAAGGTAAAGGAAGCTCCCGGTATGAGCGATGCCAAGCCCAACAGGACAGAAACAGAAAGCAACCACATGCAAGGGCCACACTGCCAAACCACAGGTAAGCTGGGCGTGGTGGCACACACCTGTAATCCCAGCACTCAGGAGGCTGAGGCAGGAGGATCGCTATGAGTTCAAGGCCAGAATGGACTACGTAGCAAGATGCTGTCTCCAAACAAAACCAGAAACAAAGGGGCTTGGGATATAGCTCAGCAGCACAGCATCTGCCTGGCAAGTGCAAGGCCCTGAGTTCGATTCTACGTACAAAAAAAAAAAAAAAAAAAGAAAAGAACCTACTACTCCACAAAAACGAAAGTCGCACTTTAAAAAATCACTTTATCTTTTTTAGTAAATAATCATGAGCAGCACTGGGGGGAAAATCACGCCAGAAGAGTGTACAGTAGAAATAGCTGTGAAGAGACGGCCTTCTTTGTTTTGCTTGGCACAGCGCTTGCTGATGGAGATGAACACGTGGGCACGGATGAAGGGGAAAGGAGAGGTCGGCTGTGGGCAGGTGGTGCAGCACCTGGTTGCGCTCCCGCGCCAATGCCCCTGCAGCAGCTTTCAGACCCCAGCTGTCCACAGCACAGGGGCAGACGTGGCCACTGCACCCTCCGGCGGGCTCTGCCCTAAGACGCCCCCAGGCTGTGTCTGCCTCTGGGCCTTTCCAACAGCAGCTCCCTCCCAGGCTGGGGCCCGCTCCTGTCCCCAGCTGTTCCTGAGACCCTCTGGTTGGCATCCCAGTACCGGGACAGCACGCGGCCAATGCTAAGGGGGTGGGGACGGGGTGGTGCCAATGGACAAGCCCAGGGCCTCCTCCCGGCATTAACAGAACTGCTCACGTCCACTGACAGCTGGGTGCATGCCAGGCCCTGGCTGACCACGCCCTATGTATTCCCTAGATCCGCCCTCCTACCTGACAGGCAGGTTGCAGCCTCCCACCAACTCTGTCTCTCTCCCTGCATCCCAGCACCTTGCCCAGCTTGGACCCTGGCACTATATTCCATGCAGTCTCACAGGTGCTTTAGCCAGTGAAACAAGACAAAAGAAAAAAAAAGAAAAAGAAACAAGGTATCCAGAAAAGAAGAGCAAAAACTATCATTATTCATAAAAGATATACATTTGTCTACAGAGAAAATCAGAGAGAACTTTCAAACTATTAAAACTAATAAGACATGCCAATGATGACTTGTGTCTATAATCAATATATAAAAATTGATTTTCTGCACACCAATAATAGCCAATTTGAAAAAAGCACATGAGAGACAGTATTAATTTAATAATCCTACATTTATAAATCAGCAACTTTCAAATGAAGCTTTACTTTGGCAAGAGTTCTTGATGAAGGTTATGATTCTGGCTTACAGAATCTCAGATTTTGCCTGTGAATTTGGGAGACGAGGCAACAGAAATCACCTATCAGTATAGCCTTTTATAGTTTACTTAGTCTAATCAACTATAACCATTTTCTTTTTTTGTCTTTTTGAGACAAGGTCTCGCAATACAGTTCAAGTTGGCCTCAAACTTGCAACAATTCTCCTGCTTCAGCCTCCTGAGTGCAGGGATTGCAGGCGTGTGCAACCACGCCTGACTAACTATAACCATTTTCGAATCCTCAAAATAAGCCAGGCCTGGGGGTGTACACCTGTAACTTTAGCACTTGGGAGGCTGAGGCAGGAGTATTAAAAGTTTGAGGCTAGTCTGGGATACACTGCGAGACCCTGGCTCAAACAAACAAACAAAAATCCTCAAATAATATTGATAGAGAGACAGAATCTACTTCATACGTGAGGAAATAAAGGCTACAGAATTTTTTGGTATCTGTTAATGGTCTAATTCAGAAATGGTAAGATATGAATTCTGGCTGCATAAAAGATGCTAAATCATTCAACAAACACGATGTGTCTAGACGAGGGCAAAAGAGAGGGAGAAAAAAGAGCCAGACAAATGAGCTATGAGCTGTGAGCTGAGTGTGATGACACACGCCTGTAATCCCAGCACTCAGGAGGCTGAGGCAGGAGGATCACTGTGAGTTCAAGACCAGCCTGGGCTACAAAGCGAGCTCAAGTCCAGCCTGAACTGCATAGTAAGACCGTGTGTCCAAAAAAAAAAAAAAAAAAATCAAATGAGCTGTGATCAAATGCAGTGATCAAGTGTGATCCAGTGCAGCACTCAGCCTGGAGAAGAGGCCACTTCTATCTACTTTTCGGGAAATGACTGCGGGGGTGTGAGCAGACAGAGGAGCGCCGGCCCTCAAACTCCACACCAAGTTCTGAAGCAGCCAGGGAAACGCAGCACACCCAGGTTTGCCCCCACGCCGTTTGCTGATGAAGGGCCACGCGCCTCCCGACCTGTGGGGTGACAGGACAATGGCGGGTCTGCCGGAGATCCGGAATGCCTGCTACTTATTAGTGTATTAGAAACACACTGCCCGCTCCACTGGAACGCCCCTGCTTTTCCGAGAAACACGTGGCAGCTGCCGCCATTCCGGATGGCACTCCTGCGCTTCTACCCTGTGCCATCGCGCAAGGACAACTCGGAATGCGGGCTCCCCGCAGAATGCGCTTCCCCACTGGTGTGTGGAAGGCAGCGCAGCAGCACCTTCTCAATGAGCCGGGCCTGCACGGAGGAGGGGACAGCAGAAGGCTGGGGATGCGGGTCCCTCCTGAGGGGATGGCCACGGGAGAAAAACAGGATCCTTTCAAGCTGCTTTTGAACTGAGACTTTAAAAAAATCGCTGTCTGTTTTGGCCTGGGGCTGCATACTTGCAATGATAAAAGCAGTTCTTTCAGCTCAGCTGTAAATCACAGAGCTCCCACAGCGAGTGGCAGCATGCAGAGGCCTGGGCGGGGGACAGACCGGGCTGGGGGCGGGGCGCCGGCGTGCGTGCAGCCCCTGCGAGCGCAAGCAGACGCCCATCCAGCGCTGGCCCCCGCTCCGGGCCCCGCCGGGGCGGGCTGGCTGACTCCCCCTTTTCTAGTTTTTCCATGTTCGCTGGATTTAGCAACTGCTGTTTTGGCTGTAATCAGAGCCCCAGTGTGGTATAATTATTCCAGCATCACAAAGTGCAGTTTTGTTTCCAGAGCCGACATTTTAAAACCTTCGCTGCTTGCGTGGTGCCAACGCTGCCAGCGCGCTTCCTGCACAGCCTGTGAACGGAAATCAGTGCTGCACACAGCCGGAAATCAGGTTTCAGCGAAACTGTGGCCCCGCAAAAGCACATCCAGGTTTAGGGCTCCCCAAGGGCCGGTGCGCAGACCTGCCGGTGGATTTGGTGACCCTGAATTCACCTCTGCTCCGGAAGATGGGCTTGTCCAACCCCGAGGGGCCCGGCATGTGGTCCGAGCTAAGAACAGTCCCAGCCTCTGGCGGGCCTCGGATGCACCCAGACAGATGGCTTCAGCAGATCCCTCTCCCTGCACAGCAAGGACACGAGGGGAAAGTACTGAGGTCAGAAGACCACGCATTCGCAAGCAACCATCCTGGCTTCTGATTGACACAGCATCTCAAACTGGGCTGTGTCACACACTGAGGGAGTTTCTCCTATACTATCTGATACAAAACTCCGCCATCACAGGCGCTCTTCAAGATACAACCACAAGCACCACTTCCCTGCACCCCCCTAGAGCCCTGCACTCCACCTGCAGGTCCATCTCCCAGATGCAACAAAGCGAGAGACTTAGGTCATCCTGCTGGCGGGTGGAGGCTGGAGCTGACCTCACCTCAGTTCTCTGCTGGACCCACAGCCTGGATTAACAGGTGAGACGTTATCTTTGCCCGGAATGCCCAGCGTGTGGCTATGGCCACAGCTCCCAGCAGGCCGGGTCTGGAGGAGGGACACACAGGCTTGTCTGAAGGCAGCATATGTTTGAATTGATTATTCACATTCATAAGGAACTGGTCACTCACAGCTTTTCAACTATCTGGGCCTCATAGTGCAGGCCTATAATCCCAGCACTCTGGGAGGCAGAGGCTGGAGGACTGCCAGTTTGAGCCTAGCCTGGGAAACTGGGAGATTTAGTAATTCTTCTCACAAAAAAAAAAAAAAAAAAAAAAGGCTGGTGATGTCAGTGAAAAGGCCCTGGTTCAATCTCTAGTACTACTACCACAAAAAAAGAAAAAAAAAGAAAGAAAAAGACCCACAAAACTCTTTTTTTTCATTTTTGTTTTTTTGAGGCAGGGTCTCACTATGTCAGTTGGGCTGCCCTTGAACTCACTATGTAGCTCAGGCTGGCCTCGAACCCACAGTGATCCTCCTGCCTCAGCTTCCCTGGTGCTGAGATCACTGAGGTGTGCCACCACGCCTGGCTTGTAGTTGGTTATGACAAACCAACAAGCCAAGGCACAGATGTTGTCCCTGGTCAGACTGTCAGGTGGGCGCCGGCTGCTGTGTAGTAACAGGGAGCAGGTGGTTCCCTGCCTGGTCCGGCAAGCAATGACCGACAGGGCTACTGGTTAGCAGGACCTAACTGCCAATCTGTGAGCCAGAAGCTTACAGGGGCTACAGCTCTTTAACCCCAGGATGCCCCTCTGAGGGAGACGGCCACATCAAGTCCACTTGGTTAGTGAAGGAATAGCAAAAGGCACTTACATGGCGGCATTTCAGATAGCGGGTGCTCTGCAGAGCTGCTACCGCAGGATTTCTTTTTTTTTTTTTTCTTTCGGTTTTTGGTGCCAGGGATGGAGCCCTAGGCAAGTGCTCACCACTGAGCAGCTCCCCAGCCCATCTGCTTTTCTTCTAAACAGCTCACCAGAGAGATCTGTACTCTAGAAACCTGGCAAGTGGAGTATCACAATTCAAATTTGGGACAAAAAAAAATTGTCTGAAGCTTAATAAGGGGTAGCGTTAATCTCTGTTTACCCACGTAAGTACTTCCTTTTGTTGTTTGTGTTTTTAAAAAACCTTGATGAAAAGTTTTATTAATCCAGAATTGTAAAGTTAGAAGAAAATGTTAAGATAACAGATTCTCATGTGCCAGATGACAAACAGGAGTCAAAAGAAATTAGAATGTTCTTATTGTGTACTTTACCATCTCAATTCTTTAAGAAATGATTGACAAAATTCAATGACAGCTGTTCTCTTAATTAACTGCATTGCTGGCCATGGCTGAGCGGACCTGTAATCCCAGCACTAAGGAGGCTGAGGCAGGAGGAGAGCCGTGAGTGAGGCCAGCTTGGGCTCTACAGTGACTTCAAGCCCAGCCTGGACTACATAACCAGACCTTGTCTTGATAACACAAATAAAACAACAACAAGCAAGTTAACCGCATGGCTTTCAGGCTAACACCGTGCCTGTCTCTGCGCTTCCACACGCCCAGTGTCGGGGTGGGTACAGGCATGCTTGGCAACGTGAGGGCCGTCAAGCGTTTGCTGCAGAACTGAAAGCTCCCCAGACGCTCATCTCTGCCCAGCCTCTGCTTAGAAGCTCACATAGCCAAGAAAAGAGCAGCAACTACAGGGGGACTGGCAACAAGACGGGCCCCGGCGTTTTCAGAGCAGCCTCGACCGTGGCATTCAGCCCCTTACCACGTAGCTCTAAAAGGCCTTCTAGCGTCATTCCCTTCCCCTCCTTCCTTCTCTCCTCTTTCCTTCATGGTAGTAGGGACTGAACACAGGGCCTCATCCCTGAGCTACATCCCCTGCATTACTTTATTTTTTATTTTGAGACCTGTCTTGTTAAGTCATTAAGTTTACCCGCCTGCCTCAGCCTCCCACAGTGCTGGGATTATAGGTGTGCACCACCACACCTAGCTCCTCCACTGTTTTCAGAATATTCCCTGCCCTCACCTGAACCCGAGCCCAGGGAAGCTCCAGTCTCTTTCCTATCCTCACCTGCCATCCAGCCAGACGCCAGGGACTTACCACCGTCACCTCTGCCCAGGACTCAGCCCGTGCTTTCCTGCAGTGCTAGGGACTGAGCACATGCTCAGCACGTGCTCTACCACTGGGCTACTAATCTCCTGGGCGAGGACATCTCTCTCTGGAGCAGGAACCCGATCCTGCCCCTGTACTCAAAATGTGCCCCTCCTGTGCCTCAGCCTCCCCGTGGAGCTGCCTGTCAGCCACAGCATCTCCTCCCATCCTTGGGCCTTTCCGCACCTCTCTGTGGCCTGGAAGGTTCTCCCTGCTTCCTTTCCTCTTCTGGTTCTTCCCTGCTCACATCTCCGAGGTGCCTCTTCCTCAGCCTCTCCTGAAGTTTGCCAGGGCCAGAGCCCCACCCCCCCTGCTTCTCCGGGCAGAGCAAGGACCTGGACTTCCGGCTTCTCATAGCGAGGCCTCCCCTCACTGTGCCTCTGTCCCTACAGCGGGCCGAGTTCTCTGAGGAGGGGACCGAGCCTTGTTTCAATTCACTGCCCTAAAACCTGCCTGTGGGCCTCTCCCTCTGCACTCACCTCTGGCGAGCACTGCTCTGTCCCTGCAGGACGTCACGTGGCTGGAACAGTAGTGCGCCGCCTTTCAGGCTGGCTTCTTCCTCAGTCAGATGCATGTGAAAGTTTCTTTCTTTCATTGCTTGGTGGCTCATTTCTTTCCCCCTCAGGGTAGCTAATATCCCACACTGTCTTGATGGGCCATGTTTATCTGCTCGCCACTAAAGGACGTTTGTGTTCCTGCACTGGGGTCAGGACCCAGGGCCCTGTGTGTGCTAAGCATCCCCAGCCCCAAAGAACCTCTTGGATGCTTCTGAATTTGTGCCATTACGGACAGGGCCGCTATATAGGTGGCGCGCAGGTTTCTGTGCCGACGACAGAAGTATTCAACCCATGCGAGGAAATCGCCAGGGGCTCGGCTGCTGGGTGGCGCAGTGAGTGTGTGTTTAACTTAGTGAGAAGCTGACAAACTGTCTTTTCTTTGTCCCCAGTGTCTCAGTCACTTCCCTGTTGCCGGACACAATACCCAAGTCCTGCCGCTTCCCAGGGTGAGGCTTATTTTGGCCCACGGCTTTTAGAGGGTTCAGCCGTGGGCAGCTGGCTCCGAGGCAGGAAGGGCCTGGTGGGAAGGCCTGGGCAGAGGGGAGCTGCTCGCCTCCTGGCAGCTGGGAAGCACAGAAGGCAGGAGCTGGGGACAAGAGCTCACCCTCTGGTCATACCGCAGTGACTGGCCTCCACCAGGCCCCACCCCCAAAGGGCACGCTCTGCCCCAAACTCCTGAGCACCCCCACGATCCTATCACCCTCCACAAGCCCCACTTCTGTACACAAGAGGCTTTAGGGGGGACACTAGATCGAAACTGTAATACCCAGTGTTCTTTGGGATACCAGAGATCAAAACCAAGCCTCCTGCATGCTAGGTAAGTACCCTATAACTCAGCTACATCCCTGGCCTTTTTTTTTTTTTGATTTGAAACAAAGCTTCAGACTCACGATCTTCCTGCCTCGGCCTCGAGAGTAGCTGGGATCCCAGTGGGCACCGCTGTGTCCAGCTGCTGAACTGTCCTTTGAAGTGGCTGCGCTACGTCACAACCCCCAATGAAGGAGTGCTCCCGCTGCCCCCAGACCATCAGCGCTCAATAAACATGAGCTTAGGAACTATGCGCTGCATTTAAAACACAAACGCTCACGCGCACAGAGAGGCAGGCAGGCGCACGGACAGAACTCACTTCCTGCTCCGCTGCCTTTATCACTCACGTTGCTCAATCACACACTGGCCCAGGGTTCCCGCAGCCGGCAGTGTTGGGCCAGCTTCACGCCCCCGCAGCACCCTTCTTCCACGGCTCTTGCTGAACAGGCCATCCTTGGCCATGTAAGACAACTTGCCATCTCCACGAACAGCGAGCTCTTCGAGGGGAAGGGCCCATCTCATGCACTTGAAAAACAGTTACAGAACTTTACATGGGAGAACCTGACTTTTGGCGTGTGCGGTGTGTGCAGGCGACTGCTGCAGCCACCACCACAGCGCATACACTTTCCCCGCCCTTGCTGCGCTGCCCCTGACGGTGTCTATAAATGCACGGTAAAGCCTACAGGGCGCTACTGCTAGCACTGGCCCGTGATCAAGATAGAATCACAGTAAAAAGTGGCAAGTTTTATTGTGTGCATTAATGAGAACTAAAATTCAACGTATACTACTTCCTCTCCAGAGCGAAGCACTTTATCTGCTGTTTGTGAGTCCGTGTTTGCAGTGTGTAACGATTATCTTCATCATGGGGAGAGGGCCCATGGATGTAATGCTTAATTCTTTTTATGCCCCGTGAGAACAAAGGTTTTTTTTGGGTGGTGAGCAATGAGACGGGGTCTCACTATGTAATTCTGGCTGGTCTTGGACTCACTATGTAGCCCAGGCTGGCCTTTAACTTGAAGCACTCCTCCTGCCTCTGCCTCCTGAGTGCTGGGATCACAGGCGTGTGCCACCACATCTGGCAGTGAAGCATTTAAAACCCTGACCAGCCACACGGGCTGTCTCTCTACCCCACAGGGGCCTGGGTCCCACCCCTCTCGGGAAGGTGTCCCCAAAGCCCAGGTGAACCTCTCCCACTCCAAGTTCTTGTGGGGGACATGCTCCTCCCATAATGGCACACAGACCCATCTTCGCTTGTCACCACGCCTGTCCTGTCTCTGCTACAAGAGCGTGGCTCTCTGTGGGGACGCAGCTTTTCTTCCTTGTCCTCTGTGGGCTGCAGGGGGCTCTGCCACAGCTCGAGGCCTTCACACTGCCTGAAGGCCGTCGCAAGCAGAGCTGTTCTAAACACGGCTGGCCAGGCCACTACTTCTGGCTGTCCGTTTCAGAACAGCGAGAGCACCCTCTGCGTATCAGTCACCCAGACAGTGGCCTGCGTGACACAATCATTGTCAAGTGACTGACAAGTGACTGGGTTTGTGCATGGGGCGGGGTGCAGCGTGCGCCTCAGAGCTGTGTCTTTTCCACAGCACCCAGCTAGCCGCCCCTCAGGCCTCCCTCTCCTCCCTGCGGGGCCATCAGCAAGCTCCACCTGCAGGGGGAGCTGGGCCTGACCCGGGGAACTGCTCACTGATGTGAAAACGGGAGGGAAGGCGGTATCCCGAGGGAAGGAACTGCACGTGCATCTGCAAATTCAGTTAAGCTTCTCGCACGAATCTTGCCTCCCAGGTGAGAGCCTGGGCCTCCCAGCCGCACCAGCCAGGCTTTGGTCTTGGCTCTGGTGCTGTCCGTAGGGTACAGCCCATCACTGCTGGCTGATGTTGCTCTTCTATGACAGAGGCTACCAATACACACTTCAGAGAGTCAGTGAGAGCGACTCGCAGATCGCTTCACACAGTCCTGGGCCACAGCGGATGCCTGTAAAACGCCAAAGGCATTTCCATCCTTGCTGCTGTCACACACGCCGCCTTTCACACGTCACCGCAGACACTGACCCCGTCCCACCTGCTCTGCACAGCTACGCCAGCACAGAACAGAACCCTGGTTCTGGACGAGGCAGAACTGAAGGCCCGAGTGTGGCTGGATGCAACTGGTGACCTTGTCTTGTGGTCCCCTGGCCAAGCTGCAGTGCCAGGCTCTAGGTCCCCAAGCCTGGATGTCTCCTGCTGGCCCAGGAACAGGGCAAGCCTCGGCAGCGGGGGACTAGGCTGCGTGGGTCTGGTGGCGAGGTGGGGACAGAGGGACCCCTGTGGGGTCAGCCAGCCCCACCTGCACTCCGGGTGGCAGCACGCTGAGCAGTCTGAACACTACCCTTCACACCATCTCTCCTGCCCGCAAGAACAGTTCGGTCAAGAGGGCATGGAGTGGAATAAGCCGAAGGTCAGCTTCTGTTCCCTGTGGAGGAGACATGTTCTCAGCATGACAACCTGGGGTGCGGATGCAACTGTCCTCCTGGCAGCCTGGATCGGTGTGGGAGTGGGTGGGGGGCCCAGCGTGGGGCGGACAGGGTGGCTTTGGGGTGGGGTGGGGTGGCTGGAGGCTGCAGCCTCCTAGTGCATCCCCGTTAAGGAAAGGAGGGGCCCAAGCAAGGCGGTCTAGCTCGGGGCCAGGGACTATGTGGGAGTGCTTCATTTCTGCTTTTCTATCTTGGGACAGGAGCAAATGGGCAAAGACGAATATGGTAATACTGCAAAATCCACATCCCAGCACGACTGCAGTGGACTGCTGTGCGTGAGGGCTGGTGGCTGTCTGTTTCCGAGAGGGCAGCTGGGC